CTGAAAAATCAGCCATTGAAAATGCTATGGATCACAGTTCTACTCTGAGACACATGGGGTTGTCATGAGTTGGAATCAACTCAATGGCAACTGGTGGTGATGTTATTTGTATAGCTTATCAAAATCCACACATTATTCCATGCTTCTTGCTCTTGCATATCCTATTAAATTGAAAAAAATGGATGCCATTGAATGATCATAATAATAATAAAGCATACATTTATCCTCTCAGAAGTTAACAGATATCTATACAGAAGGTCTAGTATTCCATTTGATATTTGATGTATTGATATAAAAATGTCTTCACATTTTCTTCAGTCAGTGAATAATTTATTCAACATTAAATGAAGTGATGTATCAAATCTAAGCTATATTTTGAGTATACAGACAAAAGATATTCAATCCCTGCCTTTAAATTGTATAAGGACTCATTTTATAAGGGTAAAATTGTAAGGTCTTCTTTCAGGCATTTAAGCTAAATCACACATTGATTATCAAAGTTCCTCATCAGTGAAGTTGGTTGGGGGTTAAGTTTAGGGGTAAAAGGCAGAGTAATTCAAATTACTTACTACACAGGTTTTCAGAGCCCACATTATGGCATCAGGAACTATGTGTGGCATCTCTACAGGAAAGGTGCATACCCATGTAGAGAAAGACACAAGGAGCCCCAAGACAGATTCATCACGACAGAAGACAGGGAAGCATGATTACAAAGTGGATTCCCATTGAGGCTGTTACTAGAGAAAGGAATGAGCCCCCCTTTGCTTAGGACATGGCTCTTTGGTATCCTAGAATAATGAAAGAAAGATGAAGTTAAATTTATTCATAATGACTTGAGTGACTTTTATTGATCCTCAGGTACCGTTAGAGTCACAGCAACTGGAAATACGATACTACCAACTTAAGCCTCAATTGTACACTCTTGACCAAGGTATATGATTCACAACCACCCTTATTTGGAAGCACTTTTGTAATCTTCCAATTGCAGACAGAAGGTTTCTAAGGGCAGCTCGAGAAAACAAAGTAAAGTATTATAAAGAAATGCGTAAAAACCAGGAGTTAGAAAACCAAAAGGGAAGAATGCTCTCGGCATTTCTCAAGTAGTAAGAAATGAAGAAAAAATTCAAGCCATGCGTTGGACCATTGAAGGATTTTTTTGAGCAAAATGTTGAATGACGCAGGAAGCATCAAAAAAAAAGATTGAAGGAATACGCAGAGTCACTGTACCAAAAGGAATCGATCAATGTTCAACCATTTCAGTAGGTAACATATGATCAAGAACCAATGGCATTGAAGGAAGAAGTACAATCTGCACTGAAGACATTGGCAAAAAATAAGGCTCCAGGAATTGATGGAATGCCAATTGAGATGTTTCAACAAACGGATGCAGTGCTGGAGGTGCTCAACTCATTTATTTCAAGAAATTTGAAAGACAACTACCTGGCCAACTGACTGGAAGAGATCTATATTTGTGCCTATTCCAAAGAAATGTGACCTGACAGAATGTGGAAATTATTGACAATATCATTAACATCACAAGCAAGTAAAATTTTGCTGAAGATCATTCAAAAGCAGTTGCAACAGTACATCAACAGGGAACTGCCAGAAATTCAAACTGGATTCAGAAGAGGACATGGAACCAAGGATATCATTGCTGATGTCAGAAGGATCCTGGATGAAAGCAGAGAATACCAGAAAGATATTTACCTATGTTGTATTGACTATGCAAAAGCGTTTGACTGTGTGGATCATAACAAATTATGGGTAACATTGCAAAGAATGGGAATTCCAAAACACTTAATTGTGCTCATGTGGAACCTCTGCTTAGACCATGAGACAATCGTTCAAACAGAACAAGGGGCTATTGCATGGTTTAACATTGGGAAAGGTGGGCATCAAGGTTTTAGCCTTTCACCACACTTATTCAATCTGTATGGTGAGCAAATAATCTGAGAAGCTGGACTATATAAAGAAGAAGGAAGCATCAGGATTGGAGGAGGACTCATTAACAACCTGTGATATGCAGATGACACAATCTTGCTTGCTGAAAGTGAAGAGGACTTTAAGCACTTACTGATAAAGATCAGACTAGGACCTTCAGTATGGATTACACCTCAACATAAAGAAAACAAAAATCCTCACAACTGGACAAATAAGTAACATCGTGATAATTGGAGAAAATCTTGAAGTTTTCAAGATTTCATTTTACTGGCATCCACAGTCAATGCCAATGGAAGCAGCAGTCAAGAAATCAAACAACGTATTGCTTTGGGCAAATCTGCTGCAAAAGACCTCTTTAAAGTGTTGAAAAGCAAAGATGTTATTTTGAGGACTAATATGCGCCTGACCCAAGCCATGATATTTTCAATTGCCTTATATGCATGTGAAAGCTAGATGATGAATAAAGAAGACCGAAGAAGAATTGATGCCTTTGAAGTATGGTGTTGGCAAAGAATATTGAATATACTATGGATTGGCAGAGGAACGAACAAATCTGTCTTGGAAGAAGTACAGCCAGAGTTCTCCTTAGAAGCGAGGATGGTGAAACTTCTTTTCACTAACTTTGAATATGTTATTAGGAGGGACAGGTCTCTAAAGAAGGACATCACGCATAGTAAAGTAGAGAGTCAGCAAAAAAAAGGAAGAACTTCAACAAGATGGGGTGGCACAGTTACTGCAACAATGGGCTCAAACATAGCAACGATTGTGAGGATGGTGCAGGACCCAACAGTGTTTCGTTCTGTTGTACATAGGGTCACTATTGTAACCTGGCCCTACGAATGCCAGTAAATTTCCATTAGACAGAAAAGACTGCCTTAAACCAGCCCAAACCCACCCTGTGTGCACAAAAGGGCCAGCTGTGACCGTTAGCTGACCTCAACAGAGGACGCATCAACAGATGGAACAAATCAGAAGAAAAATCATCAGCTGGACCCCATTCCAAAGCAAGAAGTCTGACAAGAACCACATCACCTCCTGTTTCCTGGCCACCATAATCCCTGCAACATCTTCCCTATGTATTCTTTCTAGAATTTTCCCTCCCCAGTACACCTGTGCAGCCACCATCTTGCTACCCAAATCACATATAAGCCCTGCTTTCCCAAAACTCAGGGAGTTGGATCTGAGGAACTTCCTCACGGCTCCTTGCTCTGCACAGTGCAATAAAGTTACTTTCTTTTTCTCAAAGGCAAATGTCCAGATTATTGGCAGGTCTGAGCATGCTGGACAGAACTCAGCTTCTAGGTTTTGGCAACACTACGAATCGAAACCAACTTGATGGCACCTAACAACAACAACAATTAGACACATGATATCATACCTTTATTCTCCATGTTACAATTTATCAGTCAGTGCTCAAACAAGAAAACAAACTAGTAATTTTAATGAAGATTGTTTAAAATAGGCAAATAGACATTGAAAGACTGAAAGCCATTAATAAAAAAAAAAGAGGTGTCTTATTTATCTAGTGCTGCTCTAACAGAAATACCACGAGTGGATGGCTTTAACAAAGAGAAGTTTATTCTCTCATAGTCCAGTAGGCTGCAAGTCCAAATTCAGGGTATCAGCTCCAGAGGACCACTTTCTCCATTGACTCTGGAGCAAGGTCCATGCCATCAGTCTTCCCTTGGTCTAGGAGCTTCTCTGCACAGGACCCTCAGGTCCAAAGGAAGCACTCTGCTCCCAGCACTGCTTTCTTGGTGGTATGAGATTCCCGTGTGTCTCTGCTCGCTTCTCTTTTATATCTCAAAAAAGATTGGATTAAGACACTATCTAATTTTGTAAACCTCATCAGTATAACTTCATCACAGTGATAGAATTTACAACACATAAGGAGATCACATATGACCTCACCATAGTGATAGAGTTTACAACACATAAGGAAATCACATCAGATTACACAATCATACAATACTGGGAATCATGACCCAGCCAAGTTGACAGATATTTTGGGGGGACACAATTCAATCCATGACAAGAGGTAACACAGAGGTAGTACCTAAAGAAAGTAGTGACCATGCCAAACGATAAGAAGTATAGTGAAAATGTTGGCTTATTGTGGTTGGTGATCTTTATGGACAACTATTGGAAGAACACTGTAAGAAAGTCTGATGGAAAATCAGAGCAGTGATGGGAGAATTTCTACTCTGGTAACACAAATTATAGTATAGAAGAGTGAGTTTGGAGCAGAGAGACAAGAGCTTAATATCCAGCACATATGACCAGCTCTGTGGTATGGAGGAGAAGATATTTGAATAAATATTACCAGGTACATTGAGAAAAATCGAATTGCCTGAAGTTCATTTATATCTTCCCACTTGTAAGCTCTTGATAGCTTTAAGAGCTCCAGCATCTGCTCATGAGGAATACAGGACTCAAAGCATATTAGTCATTATTGAGCAATGGTCTTACTTAGATAAGTAGTCATCAACCTTAGCTGCTAACTGGTATCTCCTGAGGTACTTTGAAAAATCTTCTGGCTCACCACACACTTCAGTCTAAATAAATCTGAATCTCTGGTGGTGCAACTCAGGCATGATTATCTTTCAAGTTCATCAGATGATTCCAATATGAACCCAAGTTTGAGAACTAATAACAACCATTAATACTCTTAAACTGCATAAATAGATAAGAAAGATATACATGTTGTATTGACAATAAGCATGACATGTGGAAAGGGTGGTGGATTGTATTTTAATTTTTAAAAAGTTGTGCATTTCGCCAGGATGCCTGTGTCATAGATGACAAATACAGAAGGTTCCATAGATGTTACAGGATTCAATCGGGCATATATTATGATGTACCACAAACTCTGGAACACTTTCCAGTTCCCAAAAAAATGGGCCAAATAATGAGTATTCTGAAATTAAACATCAAGTGGGATGAAAGCTGTGAGAGCTACCAAAATTATGTGACCAAGGGAGCATGGTTTGAAGCTCCACATGTTTGGTTTTCGGGCTATTTTAATCCACAGACAAAAAAAGATGGCACAGGGATTGACATTATGCTGGTCTGCTGAGGAGTCTCTGCATAGCCCTCTTGATATCCCTGTTTCTCAGACTGTAGATGAAGGGATTCAACATGGGAGTAACAATGGAGTACATCACTGAGGCCCTTGCACCAGTTCTGAGAGAAGGTGAGACAGCTGAACTCAGGTACACTCCCACACCTGTTCCATAAAATAAGCAAACGATTAACAGGTGAGAGCCACAGGTGGAAAAGGCTTTATACTTCCCACCCAATGACGGGACTCTCAGAATGGAGGAAACAATTCGAGTATAAGAGAAAAGGATTGCTGAGACTGGAGCACCTGCAAAGATGGCACCAATAAAATACACTAGTATGTTTTTGGTGATGGTGTCAGAACAAGCAAGGTTGATGAGTTGAGAAGGGTCACAGAAGAAATGAGGAATTTCCACTTTCATGCAGAAGGTGAGTTGTGACACCATCAAGCAATGCAGCTGGGACTCCAAAAGGCTGAGAAAAAAAGACACCAAAACCAGCAAGCCACAGAGGTTGGGGTTCATGATGACCGGGTAGTGAAGTGGGTGACAGATAGCCACATACCGGTCATAGGCCATCACCGTCAGGAGTAGATTGTCCATACATCCAAAAAAACTAAAAAAAGACAACTGAAGCAGGCAGTTGACATAAGAAATGATTCTGTGGTGTGTGTGGATATCCATAAGCACCTTTGGGATTGTGGCAGAGGTGAAACCAATGTCAGCCAAGGACAGGTTGGAGAGGAAGAAGTACATGGGGGTGTGGAGGTGGAGGTCAGAGCTGATGGCCAGAATGAAGAGCAGGTTCCCGAGCACGGTGACCAGGTACATGGACAGGAACATTCCAAAGAGGAGGGGCTGCAATCCTGGATCCTCTGAGAGGCCCAGCAGGAGGAATTTAGAGACATGTGTTAGATTCTGTGGGTCCATGTTGCAGAGACACCTTTGGGAAAGTAAAGAAAGAGTGGTAAAAGGAAATAAGAACACAGGCACCCAGCCCTGTGTCTATATTTTGAATTCAGGAAATTTACAAATAAAGCCTTCATACTTAAGACCATGCACCCCCTTCAGCAACACTTTTCAATTGTAGCAAAACCATACTTCCTGGAACTCTTTCCTCATTGGTTTCTGTGCTATTCACCTTCTTCTATGCAAACCCATTTTAGAGACACTCAACTGAAGGATGTTGAAGAATGTTAGAGGATCAAAGATATTTACAGATAACAAATTCATAAAGAGAGTAAAATAATTAACTCTAGGAGAAAGACAAGACTTCAACAGACACATAACATGTGAAGAGATCAAAACAATATCAAAAACCTCCCAACACAGAAAACTCCAGGACCAGACAGCTTCACTGGGGAATTCTACCAAAAGTTTACAGAACAATGGATGTCAATCCTTCTTAAGTTTTCCAAAAAATAGAAGAGGGGAGAACTCTTCCTAACTTATTATATGAGGGTAGCATCACCCTGGTACCAGACAAAGACTTCACAAGAAAACTATAGACCAATATCTCAGATAAATACAGACACAAAAATTCCCAACATCATACTAGCAAACTGAATCCATAAGCATATTAAAAGGATTATACACCACAATCAGGTGGGATTTATTCCAGGAATGCAAGATGATTTCAACATTAGAAAATCAGTCAATGGAATACACCACATCAATAGAGCAAATGCAAAGAACCACATAATCATCTCATTTCAGGCAGAAAAGGCTTTTGACAAAATTCAACACCCGCTCTCACCATTCCCATTCAATATTGTACTGGAAGTTCTAACTGGAACAATTAGGCAAGAAGAAGAAACAAATGGCATCCAAATTGGGAAGGAAGAAGTAAATCTATGCAGATAGTTTTTATATACATATAAAATACAGTCAGTCCTCTTGTTACAAACAAGATCTGTTCCTAAATGTGTCTTTAAGTCAGATTTGTAGGTAAGTCGGAATAGCTGCATACAGTTCTTATTTAGCCTTACTTTAGTGCAATAAAAGGCTAGAAACCTTTTCCATGATTTAAAATCTGCCCATTCAGGAAGTGAAGGTGATCATGATGAAGAATTTGTTGTGATTATGGGTTGGATCAATCATTTCAAAGTGAGGAAAATATACATAACAGTAAAGGGCAAGTATGAGTTGTCCATAACTTGGATGTTCATAGCCCAGGGAACTTCTGTACCCCAAAGAATCCACAATAAATTAATTCAGCAAAATGGCAGGGTATGAGGTCAACACAGAAAAATCAGTTATATTTTTATACACCAGGAACAAACAATCTGAAAGGAAATTAAGGAAACAATTCAATCTAAAATAGCATCTAAAAGAATAAAATATTTAGGAATAAATTTAACCATAGAGGTGATAGACTTGTATACTGAAAACTATAAACATTATTGAAAGAAGTTAAAGATCATCCCCACAAACAGAAGGATATTCCATGCTCATGGGTCAGAAGACTTCATGTTGTCATGATTTCAATACTACCTAAAGCAATCTATAGATTCAATGTAATATCCATCAAAATTCCAATACCTCTCTCTTGCAGAAATGGAAAAGTCAATTCTCAAATTTATATAGAACTGCAAAGTGCCCAAAACAGCCAAAGCAATATTGAAAAAGAAGAACAGAGAGGACTCACACTTCCACTCTCAAAATCTATTTTAAAGCTACAGTAATCAAAACAGTCTGGTACTGGTATAACGACAGACATATAGACCAATGGAATAGAATTGAGAGCCCAGAGATAAGCACACACATCTATGGTTGATTAATCTACAAGGAGGTTACTAAATCCATCAAATGGGGAAAGAATAGTCTCTAATAAATGGTGCTGGGACAACTGGATTTCCACATGCAAGATAATGAAGTTAGACCCATACCTCACGCCACGTTTGAAAACTAACTCAAAATGGATCAAACAGCTAAAAATTGGACCTAAAACTGTAAAACTCTTAGAAAAAAAAAAAAAGGAATCTAGTCTGCAACAACAGATTCTTAGATATTACACCAAAAGCACAAGTAACAAAACACAAAATAGATAAATGAGATCTCCTCAAAATTAAAAACCTCTATACATCAAACGACTTTATTAACAAAGTGAAGAGATAACCTACAAACTGGGAGAAAATTTGGGGGAACCATTTATCAGATAAGGCTCAATAATCAGAGTATATAAAGAGCTCCTACAATTTAACAAGAAAAAGACAACCCAATAAAAAAAAAGGGGGCAAAAGTCTTGAATATAAAAATGGCTATCAAGCACATGAAAAGTTGCTCAACTTTATTAGTCATTATTGTTGTTATTATTAGGTGCTGTCAAGTGATTTTGACTCATGGCAATCCCATGTGACAGAGTAGAACTGTCCCTTAGGTTTTCTAGGCTGTAATATTTCCAGGAGCAGATTGTCATGTCTTCCTACCTTGGAGCCAACCTTTAGGTTAGCGGTCAAACTGCCAACCTTTAGGTTAGCAGTCAAGCTCCTAAATTACACTACCAGAGTTCCTTTCATTAGCCATTTAAAAAAAACATCCATTGCCATCGACTCTATTCTGACTCATAGCAACCCTATAGGACAGTGTAGAACTACCCCATAGGGTTTCCAAGGAGCAGCTAGTGGATTTAAGCAGCCGACCATTTGGTTATCCGGCAAGCTCTTAACCACTGCACCACTAGGGCTCCTTTAGCCACTAGGGAGAGACAAATCAAGACCACTGTGAAATACCACTTCGCTGTCACTTTTTGACTAAGATTAAAAAAAAAGAAACTAACAAATGTTGGTGAGGATGCAGGGAAATTGGAACCCTGTACTTTGCAGATGGAAAAGAAAAATGGTACAACTGCTATGGAAAATTGCTTGGTGTTCCTGAAAAATGTAAACAAAGAGCTACCATATGAGCCAGCAATTTTACTCCTAAAGACTGAAAGCAGCAAATGTAAACAGACATATGTCCACCAATGATCAGTGCAGGACTATTTACAGTAGCCAAAATGTGGAAACAAACTAAATATCCAGAAGAATATTGAATATACCATGGGCTGCCAGAAGAACCAACAAATCTACCTTGGAAGAAGTACAGCCAGAATGTTCCTGAAAAGCTAGTGAGACTTTGTCTCACGTACTTTGGACATGTTGTCAATAGGGACCAGTCTCTGGAGAAGGGTATCATTCTTAGTAAAGGGGAGGGTCAGTGAAAAAGAGGAAGAACCTCAACAAGATGGACTGGCACAGTGGCTGCAACAATGGGCTCAAGCATAATGATTGTGAGGATGGCACGGACCAGATAGTGTTTCATTCTGTTGTACATAGGGAACTGACTCAACGGAACCTAACAGTAACAACATCCTGACACTGAAGAGTGGTCACAGCAAGGTAGAACATCACAAACAGCATTCTAAATTAAAATCAAATGTTCTTGATCAGACAGCCTTTTTATAAGACAGTTATCTTCATGAGTTTTTCCATCCACCCCTGGTAACTACTAATAAAATTAAATCTCTATGAACTTGGCTATTCTCAATATTCCACATAAGTGTAATCATACAATATTTGTCCTTTTGTGACTGACTTCTTTCACTCAATGTGATGTTTTCAAGATTCAACCATGTTGTAGCATGCATCAGGACTTCATTTTTCTTTACAGCTGAGTAATAACAAACGTGTGGGTTATCTTTTAAAAGTCTTTTCAAGTATAAATCCTAACCATTGCCTTTGGTGGACTTCACATTTTGATAAATATATTTTTGTTAAATGCACAAAAGAATACAGTATCACTGACTCAAAATGACATTCAGAGCAAGTCCCCTGTCCACAATTAAACAATAATTAACTGCTAATGAACACTTTGTTCTCCTTTTTCATTTTTCATTTCATTTTCATTTTATGCAGGGTTATTTGTATCAAATGTAAACAATCTCAAGAAAACATCTGATGGTTGAGGCCACTCTTTGCTTTTGTCTTCAGCACTCAGAGAGGCTTGGCAAAAATGCTTAAATATGTTTCTAATCTTAAACATTTAAAGCATTTATTTCTCATCAACCAGTTTCTCATCCAACCCAGTATATTTATAGTTGAGGAATTCAGGACCAGGGAAATTCCACAGCCAGGTCTAAAACCTACCCTTCTAATGCCTAGTTAACAGTTTTTCAAGTTAATCCTTCCTGGTAAGGGGATTGTAATTCTCCTAAATTCAGCTCCCTGAAGGCAATTCATGTCATTATTCTCTTTGGAAGAGTACAATATGATAAAATTTGAGGAAGATGCAAAAAACAGAAAAGTACAGAGTATAGTATCACAAACTCCTGGACAGTTTCCTCATTTGTGAAATGGGGGTAATAATTGAACCTACTTTATACAGTTGTTGCAGGCAGAAATTAAATTAGAAGATATCTCTATTAGAATACTAGTACTCAATCCTAGTAGAGAGTCAGTGAAAAAGAGGAAGACCCTCAATGAAACAAGATGGATTGACACAGTGGCTGCAACAACGGGCTCAAGCATAACAAGGATCATGAGGATGGCACAGGACTGGGCAGTGTTTCCTTCTGTTGTACGTAGGGTCGCTATGAGTCGGAACTGACTTGACAGCACCTAACAATAACAGAGCCAAATCCTGGTTAATCATTATAATTACCCATAAATCTTCTAAAATATATTGATGCACTAGCCACATCCAAGAACTGGTTAAATCAGAATCCCTACACATGAGGTTCTTGGTGATCCTAATGTACAGCAAGTGCTGTGAATCACTGCCATTCACTTAGTAAATGCTCCATTAAGGTTAGTTATTATTACTATCATTAATATCCAATCTACATATTAAATATGTAAACATGTAATAGTATTTGCTTCAGAACTCATATCTTATAGACATTTAAAATATTATGAATAACATTTAAGTTTTCTCATATTTCTGATCCCATTCTCCAGTATATTCAT